TTTAGTTGCCGATATGGTCAATAAAAAAATGAAAAATTATTGTATAGTCGCTATAAAAATATCCAAAATTCTTCAAATATTAATTTTAGCACTTTAATAATTTAATAATTATTATACAATTTAATAATTAATAATTTATTTATTTAGTTGCCGATATGGTCAATAAAAAAATGAAAAATTATTGTATAGTCGCTATAAAAATATCCAAAATTCTTCAAATATTAATTTTAGCACTTTAATAATTTAATAATTATTATACAATTTAATAATTTAATAATTAATAATTTATTTTTTTAGTTGCCGATATGGTCAATAAAAAAATGAAAAATTATTGTATAGTCACTATAAAAATATCTAAAATTCTTCAAATGTTAATTTTGGCACTTTAATAATTTAATAATTATTATACAATTTAATAATTTAATAATTAATAATTTATTTTTTTAGTTGCCGATATGGTCAATAAAAAAATGAAAAATTATTGTATAGTCACTATAAAAATATCTAAAATTCTTCAAATGTTAATTTTGGCACTTTAATAATTTAATAATTATTATACAATTTAATAATTTAATAATTAATAATTTATTTTTTTAGTTGCCGATATGGTCAATAAAAAAATGAAAAATTATTGTATAGTCACTATAAAAATATCTAAAATTCTTCAAATATTAATTTTAGCACTTTAATAATTTAATAATTATTATACAATTTAATAATTTAATAATTAATAATTCATTTATTTAGTTGCCGATATGGTCAATAAAAAAAATGAAAAATTATTGTATAGTCGCTATAAAAATATCCAAAATTCTTCAAATATTAATTTTAGCACTTTAATAATTTAATAATTATAATAATTATTATACAATTTGATAATTTAATAATTAATAATTCATTTAGTTATCTGCTGATATAAATAAAAAAATGAAAAATTATTGTGTATAGTAGAAAAATATCACAAATTCGTAAAATATTAATGTTAATAATTTAATAATTAATAATTTATTTTTTTAGTTGCCGATATGGTCAATAAAAAAATGAAAAATTATTGTATAGTCACTATAAAAATATCCAACAATTCTTCAAATATTAGTTTTAGCAAAATTTACTTTTTAAAATGAATCATAAATAATTAAATAAATAGTCAAAACATCTAATTGACTTTTTAAATAATTATTTTGACGACTAAAGTATTTATAAAATATTTAGCAGAGTTAATGTCCATAATACCTCGATAGGATAGTATAGGAAGTTTGAATTTAAAAATCCCGGCGTGTTATTTGTGTATATAAACAAGCCACCAAACAAACAAACAAACAAACAAACAAACGAACAGTACTGCGTATTCGCTTTGTTACCCCAAGATAATAAAGTGTAGGATGTACTGCGGGCTCTTACCTTATCTTGCATGCTCGTATGCGCACTGTAAAACTCACTGGAGAACTCCCTTCTGCTTATTCACTCTGGATTTATATAAATTCGCGTCCAACTCACTGGATAACGAGTAGAGTGTGTATCTTTTTAATATAAACATCCAGTTACTCAATATCCGCTCTGTGGCTTCAATAACAACCTTCATTACTTTTATTTAAACTTAAACAACAACAATAATAATATTTCTTATAAATAAATATAAATATCTCATAAAATTATTATCACTATTCAAGAAGTCTTTTATGTATAAAAAATAATTATTTCACCGCAAACTTAAATCTAAAATGTAAACGAGTAAATAAAAGTAGTTTGGTAATTAAAATTATTCAATTAAAAGT